GACCCCTGAGGAACACCACTCGTCAATGATCTCCGCTTGGACATCGAGCTGTCGACCACAACTCTTTGAGTGCGATCATCCAGCCAATTCCTTATTCACCGATCGGTGCATCTGTCAAACCCATGTCTCTCCAATTTAGAGACAAGGATGTTGTGCGGGACAGCGTCAAATGCCTTGCACAAGTCCAGGTAGATGACGTCAGTCACTCTTCCCTTATCCACCAATGCTGTAACCCTGTCATAGAAGGCCACCAAATTTGTCAGGCACGATTTGCCCTTAGTGAAGCCGTGTTGGCTGTCACCAGTCCCCTCCTTATTTCCATGTGCCTGACCATAGTTTCCAGGAGGGTCTGCTCCATGATCTTGCCAGGCATGGAGGTGAGACTGACTGGCCTCTAGTTGTTTGGGTCTTCCTTTTTTCCCATTTTAAAACTGGGGGTTATGTTTTCCCTTTTCCAGTCAGTGGGAACTTCACCGGACTGCCATGACTGAAACATGCTATTCCTGCACTGGGAAGTAAGCTCTGATCTCAATCTTTCCAAAACCAGTGGGCAGAGAACTTCTGTGTTAATGTAGCATTATTCTGACACTTAGAACTGTGTGCATTCCTGAGATTTTACTTGCCCTCTATGCCTGACAGCCAAAATATGCTACCCTTACAGGCAGTTTAATGTAAGTAACTAAATTAATTTCTTGAGCAGGTTTACAAGGAATCATTTGAACAGAGGTTTCTGGAAGAGACAAATTGCTTATATGCTGCAGAAGGCCAAAGATTAATGCAAGAAAGAGAGGTAGGTGCATGCTGTAGATGATTGCTTTTATGTTAGTTTTATCTGCTATGATGAAAACTTCTGGTAGTGCCATGGTGTATTCATGTTCGATGAAATTCGCTGGTACCCAGGTACGCATGTACGCATTCACATGTTTTGATGGGAACCACAGTATTGTATCAAAGGGAGGAGCAGACTCCAGATTGCCTTGGTGTTTGAAATATATAATTAGAGGTGGAGAAACCCTGTGACATTTGGTGTAGCTAAAGTCGCAGTACCAGAAAGTCATTCCACATTAAGCTTAAAGGTGTGCCATCGTTATTTTTTTTGCCCACAAGCTGTGGAATATCCATTGACATCATTTTACTATATGGTTATTAACTAAGTAAACTGTGTACTTTTTTACTATTTTGGTGCATTTATTTTGCTGTTTTGTTTCTTTTCCTTATTAGTTAAATAGCTTTAAGAAATTTTTGTTTTCTGTCCTCTTGAGATAAAATTATGCTCTGCAGTGGGCAGCCTGCAGATGTGATTATCTCTAAAAATGTATATAGGATCATAGACTGGTTTGGGTTGGAAGGGACCTCAAAGATCATCTAGTTCCAACCCCCCTGCCATGGGCAGGGACACCCTCCACTAGACCAGGTTGCCCAAAGCCCCATCCAACCTGGCCTTGAACACTTCCAGGGAGGGGGCATCCACAGCTTCTCTGGACAACCTGTTCCAGTTCCTCACCACTCTCACCAGTGAAGGATTTCTTCCTAACATCTAATCTAAATCGACCCTCCTTCAGCTTAAAGCCATTGCCCCTTGTTCTATCGCTACACTCCCGGATAAAAGACCTATCAAAAGACATGTTTCTTGGTAGACTAAAATACAGAAGACTTCTTTTATTAATTCCTTTTTAACGCTGAGTCACTACAAACATTTTGAAAACACCTGTTTACGTTGCACTGAGGTGAATCCTTGTGTCTAATCCTGCTCCATTCACCTCATTCCCTGGCGTTCCACTGGGACCTGGGGTCAAATGCTTCGACACAGATTTTGAAACCGGGAGTCTTACTGCTTTTATATACCTAGTGGAAAGCTGTGGAAAAACACAAAAGGTAAAGTAAGCTCCTAACTTATACAGCATATACATTTACATGTTTATGCATATGCACATAATGCATACACATATATACGTATGTACGTGCATGTGTATGTTAGTGCAAATGTGTATGTATATGCATGTATGCATAATTGTTTTGATCATTTGAAGGCTGAGATTCATACCTGTGTCATAAGATACGATAAATGTGCTAGCTCTCTACAGGGACGGATAACCCGTTGGAGAAACTGCCATTGAAATAATAGAACAATATAGTTCATACCAACTGAAAATCTGCTCTGTGATATTTTAAGGGCTAGCTTAACTCAGTAGGGTTTTGAGAAAAAATTAACTTCCTCTGAAAAATTCTCAGGTTTCTTTTTTCCTGTTCCTTCCTGTCAGATGTGGTTATAATGTTTTTAATATGAAGCAACATTGTTTAAAAAAACATACATATTATATAATATGTAACAACATTATGGTGGAATAGTCCTTTCCAATTTGTACTCTCTTTCAATTTGTAATTTAAAAAAAATTGTAATGGAACAAGATTATCTGCCTTTCATACTTTTGAAGCTGAACTTGGCATTCTCTTGTCTCTCTAGGTCCCAGAATATCTTCACCACGTTAATAAACGTTTGGAAGAAGAAGGAGACAGAGTAATAACATATTTAGACCATAGCACACAGTGAGTACAAATTTTGACATTTTTAGCGTAAGTCAAGAATCCATCATAAAACAATGTGGTTATCTGTGGTTGTAGAGACGCAGAGATTATTTCCATATTATCTTAAAGATATTATCTTGTTGACAAAACTTGTGATACAGCTTGGGTTTTTAAGACTTTATTTTTACCAAAACTGATTGTTTTAAAATAAAAATATACTTTGAGTAAGAGGGGAGAAATTTGTCCAGGAAGATTTATCAGTATAAATTGAAGTTAACAAAACATTATATAACAACTCAAATTTGCATTATCATAGTAGCTGATGTTAACTGTTCATGTGCTGATAATAAAATTAACTACAAATCATTTCAGGGAAAGAAAGAAAGGTAAAAAAAGAAAAAAGAAAGAGAAAGTTAAATTATGGCAAGGATACAGGTCATGAACATCATTCATGAGCAGTCCAGGATGTGAATTTACAGTATATCAGCTTTGGTGCAGCTGTTGCCAATGTATTGTGCAAGGTAGCTTGTCCTTTTTGCCCTCAGGTGTGGAGTAATAGTGTGTGTTTTGCTAGAGTAAGAATGTGCCTTCAAGAAGAACTGACGCATCAATGATATGCTATAAATCCACACATAATTTCTCCTGCAGAAAGCTGTTGCATTTTTTTTTAATAAAGAACATAACAGTTAATAAAGAACATAACATTTTATTTTTTCATTTTCTAGATGATACATTGGCATTTCATTGAGTATTAAAAAGATAACTCAAAAAAAATCTTTTTAACTTAGTGTTTTCTTCAGAGATATTTTATATATACATATATATACACACACTTTAGTGTGTCTTGCTTGTCGTGGTACGGATTTGAACTTGAATCTTTTTTCTGTAAATGCTGATTGCAGGGTGACTAGCTTCTTCAGGCAAAATCAGTCACAATAAAATATATGGAACTATTTCTATGTATAAAGTTAAAGCATATAAATATATTTATTTACTATTTAAGTAAAAATAGGTTGATACCATTCTATTTTCAGTGCATTTAGATGTACATCAAGTCCTTGCTTTGAATCTAGTCCTTAGTTAAAGGCTTAGAAACCTACTTTTAGAAGGCTTCGCACTAATTTCCTTTCTTTGCAATAAGAAACAGCACCTCCTAAAATTAGTGCCGTTGAGTTGTCCTCGGGTCATACTGCCTCTCCAGGTATGCATGACAAGAGCATAAAGCATGTTAAATTTAGTTACTAGGTTTGATCTTGAGATGGAAATGATACTTCCAGGACAAAACCATCACAGGAAACACCATCCAAAATACTTCAAACCAGATTTAGGCAACACGTTGAGCGTGTGGTGTTGCAGCCCGTAGAGGGATTTGTTCAGCCCATCGGTACATGCCTCTTTCTGGACAGCTGACCAGAGTAAGCATATCTCCTGGTCGGTCAGTAGATGACCAAGGTAGATGACTTTGGAGTCATACAAGAAGGTACCTTCAGGCTCATTCATCAGCTAACAGTCAAGATAAATACTCATTTGTATCTGCTTGTTAAGAAATAGTGCTCTGCCTCTCAGTCTCAAGCAGACAAATTCTCCTTACTTCCCCTGTAGGCAGAATAGGTCTTCCAGGCCAAAGGATGGTATTTTATATAACCTTAATTCCCTCTGCTGTTAGAGACAGTCAGCAGCTGTAGATAGCAATAGTTGGAAATTTCAGGGAATATGGAAGTAACCCTAAAACCCATAAAAATGGCTGTATGTGTTAAGACTAAGGGTTTGCTTACAGCCACTGAAGGGAAAGAATAGGGTGAGTATATGTGATACCCTGATGCTCTCCTAGTATCGGCCTGTTTTCAGCTCAGGCTATTTTCTGAACCTGATGTGGTTTGTCTGTTTGGATCTCTTTGAAATACTTGTGCTGTCACTGGGATTCACATAAGCTTTTCCATCTGTGCCAGCCTTTGGCAAAGCCTTCCACCAGTGCACTAGCCACCGCATGATAAATCGCCTCCTTTTCTTTAAGTCTGGCTCCCAGTGCCATCACTGATGACCCGAGCTCTTGCATTGGAAGGGCAAGTGATCAGTTAGTTCCCTTTCACCTTTAACCTGGCTGTCAATGCACTATATCCCTGCTAAGTCATCTCTTTCACAGAAAGAAGAGTCATAACACGTGCAGTTGTTTCTCTTGTAGCTGCTGCTGCATGCTTTGATCACCCCTATTCCCTTCTCTGACCCTTTCCAAATTCTAATTTAATCTTTTGAGATGAAGGGACTAAAACTATATTGTGTGGAAGGTCAGGTAAATTATTGGTGGGCTGTTTCAGCAAAGGAAGTGACATAAAGTGGATGCTGCTATGCAAAAGGCTTCCATCAATGTGAGCTGAGCACCTGTCTTTTAGAAAATCTAAATTAAGGGTCTGAGAACCAATTTTATAAAACAATGCAGAAAAAAGTGGTTGGTCTTTTGTTGTCATATTGTTTATCATATTATTTTTGTTATTATTATCTTATGATAAACAATAGAAGAAGTTTAAATGTTTAAATTAGTTATCCCTTTGCACTTCAGGCATTTCTTTCTTCTTTTAGGCTATAAAGGATGGAAAGGAAAACTTGCCATTATTTTTCAGTCCTGTCTAAAGTGAATGTATCAACCAAATATTTCAGTAATAGTAAAAAGTAGGGGAAATTCAAGGACAAATTTAAAATGTTTTGCAAATTTGAGTCTTGTGGTTCTAGCTCAATTCGTGCTTATGTAGCTGTGTAATACAATTGGATGAAAAGCTTGAGTTCTGAACATCGCCACTGTGTATTGTGTTATTACAGAGTTCAAACCCTGGGAGGATTTTGCTTTGACTTGTTTGTTTCCAAGAAAATGTCAGTTTTACTTTTTTTCAGAATTTTTTTGTACTGATTTTTGGTATCTAAGCTTCTCTCTTCTGTGTAAGAACTTGGGTTTTAGTATTCAAAACTGAATTTTCATTTTTAATTACATACATGGTTTACTGTTTTCTTTCTTGACTTACATCACATGACATTTTTGTCTTAATTTTTAGCCTCTTTTAAGTAGAAAATTGTTGATTTTTTTTGTATTATAATGTGAGTTATTCACAAATACATTGTGACAGGAGGCAATTCCCTTATACTCTAGTACTTCTAATATACTTTTCTTGCCTTATTTAGGAAACCACTGATTGCTTGTGTGGAGAAACAGCTACTAGGAGAACACTTATCAGCTATTTTGCAAAAAGGTATTTTTTAAAAATTTATGTAATCTCCGATAAGCAACAGATTCTTATACTCTGCAATAACTATAGGCTCCACAGCTTTTATTTAAGGAGGTGTATCTGCCATGGAAAAAAAACTTCCACGGATACAGAAAGCCAGCCCTATCACACTTACACCCACTGTGACATGTAAATTGTATACGTGGAAACAAATATCTAAAATATAATTCCATATTTTTAAAGGTTGCTAAACCCCCTAAATCTCCTTTGACTTGCAGCAGCGGGCTTAGGAATTAAACCTTTGGAACTGCTAATTTCCTACAATTATATACACTTCTAAATTAGAACTGCAGTTACTGTCGTATCTTCTTGTGTGTGATAATCACACAGCTCAAATGCAATAACTTCATGTATTCTTGTGACTGTACAGCTCTAGAATCATGAGTTACTGGAACTGACAACATTGCAAGGCAGTGCACTTTCGTATGCTTTTGTCTGTGTTTTACATTTTGTCTGGCAATTTCAGTATGAGCTGCAGTCTTTCTAGGAAGTCCTTATCCAGACATCAGTATCTTCAAATCACCATTTCTTTGTTCCTCTTAACTTTTAATCTTTATCTTTTTCACTGAATTTCTGGGTTTGATCAGTGTTCCCTCATCTTTTAATACTTTAAATGATCCTTTCCTTTTCTTGCACTAGGCATCTTTTTAAGTTTTAGATCTTCTAGCAAATAATCCTTATATCTGTTTCCTTTACTGCTGCAAAACAGATGTCCCTAGTAGTCTGGTATCTTCAAGCTCCATCATGTCTTTGTTTGTTAATACTTTCAGATTGTTACACATACCACTTCTTTTGTTGTCCCCTTTTTAAAAATAGACATATGCTCACAGTTTTCTCTGAACTACTCTGGGAATAAGTTCTTTCACTGTTTTCAATAAATTTATAAAAATAAGTGTGGTCACTCCAGTTCAGCTATTCTTAAGCTTTCCATAAACAGAAGGTAATAATAATAATTTTTCTGTTGATATATGTCAATTTTGCTTGCTCTGTAAATCAAGTATTATTTTAAAGTAACTTTTCCAGTGATACATTTGTTTATCAGTTGGCTTAACCAGAAAATGTGTTGTTGTTTTAATCTAAACTTTTTCTCGATTTATAATGTATATGTGCCATCTATGTAAATATGGAGAGAGTTGTACATTTCTCTAGTTACTGCATTTTAGGACTGTAGTATTGTTGGATCAGCTTTTGCATTGATTGTCGCCACTTAAAATAAAAAAAAAGTAAGTCTAGCATCACTTGACTTACATAATTTTCTGCATTCGTTTGCTCCAGGGCACATTGTAATCCACTTATAACATCCTAGTATTCAACGTGAGTAGAAGATGATACTGCCTTTTGTAGGTTTTGTTCTTTAGGAGAAGGCATGTGATGTAGTCAGTTTGATATGGGGGGGAAGCTTACAAATGCAGGGTATGTATATGAAACTTTTAAAACTGTATTATTAAAAAAGCCGTTGACTAGATACTGGGTTTCTTTCATTATGAGTATAATAAAATTTTTCAAGGCTGTGACAGTGCTTTCTGGAAGTCGTGTGAAGACTTGCTGGGAGGACTTCATAGAATCACAGAATGGTTTGGGTTGGAAAGGGCCTCAAAGATCATCTAGTTCCAACCCCCCTGCCATGGGCAGGGACACCCTCCACTAGACCAGGTTGCCCAAAGCCCCATCCAACCTGGCCTTCAACACTTCCAGGGAGGGGGCATCCACAACCTCTCTGGGCAACCTGTGCCAGTGCCTCACCACCCTCACAGTGAAGAATTTTTTGCTTGTATCTAATGTAAATCTGCTCTCAGTTTAAACCCATCACCCCTTGTCCTATCACAACAAGCCCTTGTAAAAGTCCCTCTCCAGCTTTCCTGTAGGCCCCTTCAGGTACTGGAAGGCTGCTATAAGGTCTCCCCGGACACTTCTCTTCTCCAGGCTGAACAATCCCAACTCTCTCAGCCTGTCTTCATAGGAGAGGTGCTCCAGCCCTCTGATCACCTTTGTGGCCCTCCTCTGGACTTGCTCAATGTGCTTCGTATGTTGGGGCCCCCAGAGCTGGATGCAGTACTCCAGGTGGGGTCTCACAAGAGCGGAGTAGAGGGGCAGGATCACCTCCCTTGACCTGCTGGTCACACCTCTTTTGATGCAGCCCAGGACACAGTTGGCTTTGTGGGCTGCAAGCATGCACTGCTGGCTAATGTTGAGCTTCTCATCCACCATCACCCCCAAGTCCTTCTCCTTGGGGCTGCTTTCAATCCATACTCCACCCAGCTTGTAGTTGTGCTCAGGATTTCCCCAACCCACGTGCGGGACCTTGCACTTGGCCTTGTTGAACTTGTCTATATGTTTTTTTCATTTGTCAAATATATGACAAAATAATTATTTCAGTCATGCAGCTCATATGCCACAGAAAGAAGGAACGTTAAACTTTATCATCTGGGTTCTAACAAAGCAGTTAGTGTATTGGTGGCTTTAAATGAATAGGAGGTGATGCTTGGATGCGCTGAATGGACGTTTATTAATTTTCTGTTCAATGCCAAAAGAACACCAGTCACATCTATTCATGACTTTGTAATCTGTTGTCTTACATACTTTTAAAGTATGTTCATTCTTCTGATATCTCAAAAGTTTAGGCATATCTTAAAGTTTAGGAAATCTCAAAATATCACTCAGACGTTTACCTGACATTGTTCTTGAACATTGGTTGCCGTCCTGAACGTGTAAATTGTAATATACAGTGAAAGTCTTTTTAAGATGAAGAATATAGTAGAAAATGGGATAATTCAGTAGTGATTGAAAATTCTTTGTAATATAATACCATGTAAAAATTTGAAAAAAATTTGGAAGGAATTTGTAGTCTTGTGTTATTCTATCGGTATAAGCATAGGCAATTCATAGCACACTGTTAATCTAAAAACATGGCTTACCAGACTTCACAGAAGAAAAATCTTGCAAAGTATTTATCTTTACCTTAAATATAGGGCAGTTTACTTAGCTTACTATTTTCTGACATTTTTTAGAGGTTCTGTGAGATGTCTTGATAAAACTGTATCCTTCGAATCGAGTACTGTTCATAAACATTCTGCAGAAGGCTTATGGTCAACACCTTGTTGGGAAAGTACTTCAGTTGAAATAGTTATAAAATACTGTATCATAAAACATTTCAGTCAATTTAAATAAGGGGCATGTTAATCCTGAACATGTCACTTGCTTTCAGAAATTTAGTCTTAAAAAGTTGATACTTTTTAAACAGACTGGAGGGTCTTGTCTTTTGATGTGTTTCATAGAGATTTTTAAAATATATTTCTAACTGTATTTATGCAACTGTATTCAAATGTGTTCTTTCTTCTAATTTTATTTTTTTAGGACTTGATAACCTGCTCGATGAAAATAGAATATCAGATTTGACCCAGACATACCAGCTGTTCAGCCGGGTAAAAGGTGGGCAGCAGATCCTTTTACAACATTGGAGTGAATACATCAAGGTATTTCAAAGATCTCTTACTAATGTCAAAAATTCTGCTGTTATATATTTCTTTTATCAAAACCAAGAATAATATGTAGGTCTGTGCATCAAAATTCTGTTTTAAGCAAATATGGGTAGGAATGGTAATGCCTCCCCACAAAAAAAACCAGTCACATGATGAGAAACAGCAACACTTAAGTTTTGGTTTTAAATTTCTACTTTGAAATAGCTTTCCTTATAGGTTTGAATGTTATACAAGAAGTTATTTTGGTTTGCTTTGTTTTTAAATAGAGCCACACACATGTGTGTTTAGACTATGCTGGATTATACCACCTGTTGTCTTTTGCTACAAATACACTCAATTGTTTACATATCTGCAAAATCAGTGGAACACCAGAATGTAGCTAGATGTAACCAACCTACAGCAACACTGATGAATGTTTAAGCTATTTTGAACAGAATACTCCTCTTGAAAATAATCCACCATCAAAATCATATTTAGGTGCTTCAGGTTTGTTTTGCTAGGCATAATGTACATGCAATACATTGCCCCAGAGAACTTGCACTCTAGCGCTCTCGCAAGATGCAAGCAGCAAAGCTTCACAGAAGATATTTCTCTCTGAAGTTGATAATTCCTGATGTGGTGGTTCTCCTCTGAATTGCCCATGTTTCGTCAGCATTCAGGACTAAATGCACAGCAGTGGTTCATTTCAGAGGTGCCTTTCCAGAACACCCATGTCTGGAGTTCTGCATGGTGCACCAGTGTGCAGCCCATGCAAGTGGGACATACTCTCCCCTCTGTCCCCAGAACTGAGGTGGAGTTTGCTTCGCAGAGTGTCATCTGGTGTCCCCATATGCAGTCCATCAATCCATAGGCAGCTGGGCCAATTGAACAGCTTGCCGTGGCTGAGAAGGAATAATCTTTCTTCTTCCTTGCTTCCAGATCGCACTCCTGACTTAACCCTTGTGCTGCCTTCTTCTCCATAGACTCTTTTGTGATCTGTTTTAACAGAGTACCTGGGCAAGGTCAGTTTTATGCCAGGGTTAGTGAGCTAAAGACGCTCACAGAAAAGTCCTGGTGCTGGCCCAAGGAAAGAAGCAGGAGTTTGGGGCAGATAGGAAAACAAGGGAAGGAGGACCGAAACCTCTCCTTTGACAGCAGCAAGTTGTTAAGTTGGCTTGTCATATCTGATGTCTCAAAGAATCAGACCTTTTATGGTTCTGTTTTTAAGAAATTCTTTTACAGACTCAGCTAGAAACCATTTTCTATAGTGCCAGTAAATTTCCTCCTTTCAAACATTCTGTATGACAGAATGTATTAAAGTGAGGCTTCAAGAACTTAATCTTGTGAGCCAGTGTAAGAGAAAGCACAGAGTGCATGCCAAATTACTGGGGTGAAGGTCTGTGCTCTACTGTAGTCACCTTTTTATGATTTCAGAGGTACCACTTAGCTTTCTGTATCTCCGTTTGCCATTTGCAGAATGGGGTGAATGCCCTGCAATTTATGACTGTAACTGATGGAGACTGTGAAATGTCCAAATGCTGTGTTAATGAAGGCGAAATTGTGCTAAGTGTAAGATATGATGGACTAGATGATCTTCAGATGTCCCTTGCAACCCAAACCATTCTGTGATACACATGTTGAATCTCAGGACCTTGGGCAGCCTTGTGTTTGTCTTGCTTCACTCTGAAATCTTACTTGAAAAGATGTCAGTGAAAGATCTCAGTGGATAATTAGATATTGAGGTGGAAATTCTAAGGTTTGGGAGAGATTTCCCTATCTCTGACTGTTGTGGATAACATACTTTAGTTGATGAAAATACACCAACTGAATACTGTTCTGCTGTTACTGTGCAGATGTTCCTCTTTCTCACCTTGAGAAAACTGGTCATCCTGTCTAAAATGCTGATCAGTGTTACTAAGCAATTGTAAATTGTCCGATAGGTTAACATCCTCCCTTACAGGATATTTTGGTTCACTAGACAAATGTTATTGTATCTCTAACTTTAAGATAACAAACATAAGAACAAGAAAAAAAAAAAGTCTGTGGCTGCTTCTTGCAAATGGGAAAGTTTTGTTTTATTGCAAATCAGCTAGGGGTTTTTTTGCTTTTATGCCCTTGCTGAAAGAAATCTTGGAGTGATGAGCAGCGGTTGAATTTTCACCACCTATTCTGTCAATACAACTCTCTAGTGGATTTAAGAAAAATAATGCAAAGTTTTCCATTACACTTAACATTTCTGAGGCAGTTTCCATATAATTTCTTTTACATGAATCATGTAGTTCTGTATCTAACTGTAAACTTGCACATCATACAGTCATGTCTACTGTGTATTTTATTTTTATTTTTTTCTTTTAGCTTTTGTCTTAAGTGTATATAATCTTTAAATCAAACACTAATGTTTGAAATCCATTAATGTTTGTCTGGGTTTTTGTTTTAAATTCCAATGCATCTCATTTTTTTGAAAACTTGAAGTGACATAAGTAGCTCTGTAAAAAAAAAAAAATTATTCTTTCTAATGATAAATTTTATAAGGGTAAATGTGTCTGTTGGGGGAGACAGGTAGCACTCTAAAGTATTTTATTATCAAAAGTGTTTGTTTTACAGAACTTTGGGACAACAATAGTGGTTAATCCTGAAAAAGACAAGGATATGGTGCAAGAGCTACTAGATTTTAAGGATAAAGTGGACCATATCATAGAAGTGTGCTTTCAGAAAAATGAAAAATTTATAAACTTGATGAAGGAGTCCTTTGAAACATTTATCAACAAGAGACCAAATAAGCCTGCAGAATTGATAGGTACACAAATATTTTTCTGTAAAATATTTCAAAAATCTATAGAAAGCATGATAAGATAATGCTGCTGAGTGTGCTAGTGCAATAGTGACGCAGTACGCATTCTGCTTTAGGAGACTCGTTTTTGGGATACGAGGCAAAAGTTTAACCGGGGAGCGTTGTGGGTTCAGAAAGCTTGGATGTGCTGTTAGGCGTGCGCGCAGCGTCCTGACGGAGCATGCCAGCTCCTGCTGTCCCTGCTTCTTGCACGGTGTCTGGTGCTAACAACTACTCAGAGAGCTTAATGCTGATGCTACGAGTGGAGTAAATGGTTAGAGGTGTTTAGGTAGCTGTGGCAAAAAAAAAAAGGGGGGGGGGGAACTGGTTTTAATTGTGGTACTAGAGGAATTCTTTGGATGTTATGGATCTCTCAGAAAGGACCAAGTACAGCCCATCTATCTGCCTTGAAGGCTGAAGTTGGGAGAACAGTTTTAAAGCTTTCATATATGAGGAGTTTTAATAGAGAAAACATTTTTACCTTGAAAGGGGAACTAGTGCTCATAAAAGGGAAACATAATAAAAACATCTTAAAATACTATTATTGGGTTTATCCCTGATCTGGCAAAAGCTGTTCTGACTGTTTTGCCAGCAGCAAAACTGGAGCTGTGGCATTTTACACCGGGGGAGGATCCCGCTCCTTGCTTGTTTTTCATCTGTTCTTTTGCCTTTATACAACTTAGTTTGTGGTTTCCTTCTAAAACCAGCTTTATGTAGGACAAATTGCACAACCTAGTGATACAGGTTAAAGCCATGATACAGGCTGCTGTCATTTGTGAATTGTGGTATTTCAGCTCCTGCGAAAGTTTGCTCTTTACGCAGAAGGTTGTATAAGGATACTAATGTGGCTTAACAAGTACTTTGCTAAACTCATGGCTTAACCTTATTTCTGGCATTGTGAAGCTACTAACTTGAAAGCATTGCTTCTGTTTAAATTTTGGTATGCTCCTACCAAGGAGCATGAGGGACATGGTAAAAGTCTACAAAAATATAATCTTCTTTGTGTTGTTTGTTTCTGTTTCTCATAAAATACATTCATATGCATTGTACACTTCCAAAACATTGTCTTTCAACAAGTAATGTACTTGCTATGACTAACACAAAATGTGGGAATTTCTAATGCCTTAATTTTAATGATTATACTGCATTCATTTTTTTCCTTGGATAGTTCCTTTTTATGATATTTTTCCGTTATGGCAGTAGTACAGTAGGGCTCTGTCATTCCACTGAACATAGGGATGAGAAAAGGGAAAACAGAAAATTTAACACTTATCCTGTATTTTCACCTATAGTAATATTTAACCTGTAGTAATATTTCAAATGGGAGACGCTTAAGTTGGTTATTTTAATGTCTTTTTTTTAAAAAGCTGTTAAACTCTTTTATTGATTTGTAGCAAAATATGTGGATTCCAAGTTAAGAGCTGGTAATAAAGAAGCAACAGATGAAGAGCTGGAAAGAATCCTTGACAAAATCATGATCATATTTAGATTCATTCATGGTAAGAAATACCAGTTCACAGTTGATGCAATTAAAACCGTTTTCCTTGCTACTAGCAGATCCACATTCCTCTGAATGTAAGAGATCTTTTTTAGCATGAGTTTCTGCTTGACTTGGTCCTAAATTCAGGTTGCCTTTACATCTGAAGGAGCACAATAAATATCTCAGGGAGGACAAACTTGTTCTGTGGAGATTGGCAAGTTACAGACCTTTTACAGTCTTTGAGTGGAGACCTAAGAGTTAGAGCTCTCAGTGGAAGTTTTTTCACATAAATGAACCATATCTGTAACCACAACCTCTCTTCTAATGACAGGGAACAGAAAGGTTAGTACAGATTTTCTCTTCCCTGCCCACCTCAGTATGTTGTAGGTGCAAAGTACATGAAAACCCAGCAACTAATGACTTGTCTTTACTCATTATGGCTGAGAATGAACATAGAGTAGGGCTCACAATGATGGGAGAAAATGTTGTTGCTGTGTTTTACTGCTTTTGAAATCCACTTCCATTATGTATGTCCCTATCTGAGAAAAACCCTTGAATGTCTTAGGAGAAGTTTTGGGGGTTTTTTTGCTAGGTTGGATATCAGAAAAAAAATGTGTGGTTGAGTCCAGTAGAGATGCATGGTCACTGTTTTGAGGGAAGTGGGACGTATATCCTGGGCTGGGGTGGAATAAGCAGAAATTACTCAATTCTGTATTAATTTGTTTTGCGATCTGTGGGGTTCTTTCCTCATAAAATCTGAAACAAGTACAGCATAATGGGAAAGCAGACAAGAAATCAGTTATCAAGAAATATCATTTGCATCATGATTTTTGTCAAATGTGAAGGGTATTGGATGGAGATGGTGAATGAAAACAGTATCACTGGCAACTTGTCAGCCAAAGAGATTAATTTCTGTTAATCTGAAACTTTGGCCTACTCTTTTTCTCTTAATATTTTTTGTAGTACTGAGCTAAAAGTGCAAATTTATTTTGAGCTATCTAGCGCATAAGAGTCCTTTTAAGAGCAGATGATAATTAGTAGTTAGTTTCTGGGCATTGGACTTTTTGATAGTATCTTGATGCTGCTTCATGAAACACCACTTTGCCAGAGATGGAGAAGAAGGAAGATGACTATCAGAGGAATCGCTACATTGGAAGGTGTTTGCAAGGAATTAGGAGGGGCTACTGTAGGCAGCACAAACAGGGCCTTGAGTTACAGTGAATTTCTTCCTTTTAAAAGTGAAACTATTTGCTGATATCTTTGCACTATCAATAGAAAAGATTTGCGGAAGCTCTGGTTTAAGGTGTGAAAGTTTGTGGGTGCCTGTATGACTTCTTTATTTCAAAAGCCTATTGGCAAACCAAGTGAGAAGACTTCTGTCAATTTTTCTTCACCTTAGGTTTTTAAGGGTTAGATATTTCTTTAAGACATCAGAACCCTTTTCTCTCCCCCCCCCTTTTCTCTCCCCCCCC